AAAATAATTAATTAATTAGTAAAATAAAATGAAAGAAGTGGAGCATCAGATTTATTGATCTGTTCTAATTGCACCTTTTAGAAGCAAGAAGATATGTGATCTCGTCTTTTTCTGTAAATGATCCATCACAGGGAGCATCCATGGCGGAATCATTTCTTATCTCTCTGCAATAAAACGTCTCTATACATTGACAAAACACAGAAGCCACGTCCGTTGTGCATAATTTTCAAGTCATCACTAATAAGGGTTCATCACTTTATCTAGAAAACTTAGACATATTCACATCAACAACTCCTTGACTAATTAACAAACAAAATTGCACAGTAGTTTTGACATATAGGCTTATTATGTCTATATCAAATTGACCAGGGCTTCAATATATTCCATCCCCATGTTATAATTTTCATCTCATGACACAACATATGTAAATTTGTACGTATGCATGTATATATGTATGTATGTGAATCATTAATATGTGTTCATTACCTAGCTAATGAGAATAACACAAAGTCCCATTGATTTTTCCTAGATTTTTCAGTACTATGGTGTTAGAACATTATCTACATTTGACAAGGTTGAAAGAGAAAAAGAAAATAATTAGTACGTTTTTCAGCTCAATATATTTGTCAATACTTAATAGTTTAGTTATTAAAATTTGTAATTGAAAATTTTTTTTGAAAATAATAATTTTTCAATAAGTGTGTTATATAATATGTTGAATTGGAGGATATATTAATTATTGTAAAAAAAAAAAAAGGTTCAAAGTGTTTAAAGACAGTGATGAAAAGGTAAAAGAGCAACCAATATGTATATATATTTATAGGTTGAAGTCCCAAAAGAGACCAAAGCATAGAAGTAGGAATGAGGGATTGAAAAGGATTCCAATCTCAGGGACAGTAATACCTACACCTAAAAACCCTTCGTGGGAAGTGGGATTTCTATCCAAGAACAAAATATATAAATGCTTTTCACTACCAAAACATATATATCACGTCACTGCTTTTATCATTTCGTTAGAACACATCATATTGCATTGACTTCAAGTAACCTAATGATTAACTAGAGCCACTTAAGCGAGAAAATTAGTTAAGTGCAACCCCACTTTGGGAGAAATGCTAAAGCATTGCTTATGTCAGAAAAAAGAACACTGAAACCTATGGTTTGAAGTGCAAAGTAAAATTCATTACCTGACAAAAAGTCTTGATCAAATGGTTAATGAACGGTCTCAGGCTCAGATTCCAGTCTTCTACTCCAAATCATCATGTATCTAAAAAACACGGCAGTAATTAATTCTTTCTTGTGAGTATGTGAGATACTACTTACTAGAGTAATACCTAGGAAAAAAGCCTTTAAATTGATGAAATCATAGTAATTGAATGTGCAGACGGCAACATCGTTAAAAAGTACAAAACATCCAATCTTTGAAATACAAGGTTAAATAGTAAAAGGGAGAGACTTCATCATCATGACTTTGAAGAACACTCAAAAATAACCAATGAAAATGGCCAGCATTAGGTGGAGTATCTAAATTGAATGCAAATTCTGAATTGTCTCATTCTTGCTTCTACATTTCAATTATTACTTTTGGAATTAGATTGGTACATACTCCCATTTCTATTATGGAAAATGCATTTTCTTTGTAGGGCCAATGACAGAACTCACTCATCATGAGACTAAAGTATTTGCAATTCATTTTAGACAACTGTAAAACACCAACCTCTTCTATTATCTACTTTCCTTTCTTTTTAGTGAATGAAACATGATCTACTTAGAAGAGACATGTGCAAATCTAAACAGCAACACTACATGCAACAATAATATTGTTGATCTATGATTTTAGAATATACTTCATATCAATTCAGATGATTAGAAATTTATAAATTAAAATGACATCATTTTAAAATTCACACACAAAACTAATTAACTAAATACCTTTAAAAGAAATCAAAGTCCCACGAGATTAATTACGGATAAGAACTTATAATTTTATGTTTGAATCTTGGGAGGTGAAGGTGTCAAAGTTTGAATCTTGTAAGGGGGAGGAGTTTGGAAATGTGAGAACTATTCCAAGAATAAATAAATAAAATAGTTCAAACCTTGGATGGTGCATGGTAAAGTTTTTTTTTGAAAGGCAATGGTGCATGGTAAAGTTGTAAAAAGTTCGAATCTAAAGAGCAATAGAAAAAGGCTTGGGAAGCAAAAGACTATAAAAAACGTTAATTGAAAAACCAAATAGCTTAGTAAATCTTCCATTTAAATGTTAATTTTTAACATACCGCAATCTTCTGGGGAGGAAAGGTCTCAACTTTTGTTATATAAGAAGAATAGGAAGTGTTGCAGCCAGCCACTGTCCATAGCTTGAGGTTGAATTCTTTAAGGCAAAACCCCATATTAAGCTCTTGAACTTCTTTCAGATTCTTAATTAATCTCATTTTAAACTTTTATTAAAGTAAATAAACTCTTAAACTTAGTAATTTAGACAATTTAACCATCTTTTTTTATGGTAAACTTAATATCCATTTGTATCTTATTTGCGTTGATAAAATATTGACATATCATTGTCTATATAGCAAGTATTGACCTTGTTCACACAAGAAAGGCACAAATGGGCATCAAATCCACAGTATGGAAAAGGGTTGAATTGCACAAATTAGTAAGTTTAAGGGTTCATTTGCTTCAATAAAAATCTAGAGAGTTAATAGAGAATTTGGGGTAAGTTTAGGGGATTAACATAGGGTTTTGCCCTTTAGAGATTGGCCCATTAGAGTTGTTTTCTAAAATAGAGGCCCGGCCCTAATTGCCCTTGCCAGACCCGCCCGTTTGTTTCTTATCCCTCCACCCGCAAAAGCCTACGCAGAACCCTCCGAACAATGCTGCGACTCCGGCTTAAGCTACCGCCGGTGCTCTCCCTCTCATATTCTCATCTCCGGCATGTTCACTCCCCAAAGTCTAGAATCTTCCCATGCCTATTCTCTTTCTCACAATCCCCATCGCTCTCGTTTTCTTCTTCTGTTCTGCCGAAACCCATACCTTCGTTCACCGACGACGCTGTTGCTGATGATTGGGCTCTTGAGCCTCGCTATCTTTCCTGCTGTATGCCGGACAAGCGGCTTAAAGTGGCGGTTCTCCTCAGTGGCGGAGTGGATAGCAGTGTGGCCCTTCGCCTACTCCATGCCGCCGGCCACTCCTGCACCGCATTCTATCTCAAAATCTGGTTCCAAGTACTCTTTTGTCCAAACCCTTCTTCATGTTTTAATTTATTGACATCGGAAATGCTTCTTTGAGTTATAAATTTAGTTCTTTGAGTACTTTATTTGATAAAGTCTTCAAATTTATGGATATAAACTTGATATCTGCAGCTGAATGCTAGCTAGAAGTAGATGAATGGGGTTTGTTTATCTAGTATTTGCGGGTTTGTGTAGGAGGATTTTGAAAACTTCTGGACCGAATGCCCCTGGGAAGATGATTTGAAGTATGCAAGGGCTGTTTGTGAGCAGGTGATTTACTTTTACCTCATTCTGAGTTGAAGTGTTGAGTTTGGTTTAAGATAAACAGAAGGCTTCTTATGAGGGTACATATGGCTTTATCTTTCTTTTTTAATTGATGGTATACGTTAAGCTGGGATTCCACTGAACAAAATCTTGCATTGTTTTCTTTGATGAGCTATATTCTTTTCTTATTTTCATGCCTACCTACAAATTTTTTGTGAAGACTCTTTTTTTTAGTGACAATTATGAAATTCTTTCTTTTTTTTTCATGGAATTCCAACAAGAGGAAAATACTTGTACTTAACATGTGGCATATATTTTTTTTTCTCAGGTTGATGTGCCTTTAGAAGTAGTGCATTTGACAGATGAATATTGGAAAAATGTGGTATGAATTTGTCTTTTCAATTGCAATTCTATGACTTTTTTCTATAGCTGTTTTTTAGTTTTTACTTTAATTAGCTGGTCCAAAAATGATTAATTGATTTACTTATCATAACTTCTTTGTCTGCTGTTTATTTATTGCAAAGGTTACTTTCTCTTCTCTCAGGTTTCCTACATTATTGAGGAGTATCGATGTGGTCGTACTCCTAACCCAGATGTTCTTTGTAATACGAGAATTAAATTTGGTATGTACTTTTGCTTCTGCTGAAGTCTCACTATCCCCCTTTTTGTTTGCTTTTCTCCTTCCTTTTTATTTTTGATGGATGGGGTGGTATTTAAAAGTAGTATGTTTAAATGAGGTTTAAGTTGCAAACTTTGCTTATTGACAGTTAAATCCATATTTTGCAAGTCATATGTTTATGATAACTGAAACTGTTCAGGTGCATTCATGGACGCCATCAGCAGTATGGATTATGACTATATTGCTTCTGGGCATTACGCTCATGTTGTCCATCCATTGCCAGATCAAATTGATAATCCTTCTACCTTAGAATTATCAAAGGATATGGTATCTGCCAAGCTGCATGTTCACTTAATTTTATTCATTTCAAGTTTTCTGACTGTATTGCTAGACTTTTCTGAGCAAAATGTGTCAAGTCCTGACTTTAAGCTTGTGTTCTTTTACATGTTTTATAGGATGCCAGAATGATTTGTAATGTTCACTTCTCCCACTGCCTCTTTTTTAATAAGTTTAATGTTGATATTTTAGGTCAAGGATCAGACCTACTTCCTCTCACATCTTTCACAGGCCCAGCTTAAACGACTTATTTTTCCACTTGGTTGTCTCCCCAAGGTTAGTTTGCTGGTTTTACTGCAGAACAGTTAATCAATCATGTTAGTAAGTATGGTCCTCTATTTGTTGACAGCAACTGTTTTATTTTTATTGTTGAATATTAAGATACAAATATCACATATTATTGTGTCCACCAAATTATCCACAGGATGAAGTTCGCAAAGTTGCATCTAGATTTAATTTGCCTAACCAAGATAGGAAGGACTCACAAGGAATATGCTTCCTTGGGAAGGTATGTTTTGCAAGCAGCTTCTCCAGCCTCATTTTCATACATTCCCAGAAATTTCATTTAAACACCAAAGTTTAGTGTTTTTGTTGTTTTATTTTATTTTTATTATTTATTTATTTCTTTATTTTAAGATAGGCTTCTTTGTGCAGTAATGTTTAAGTTTTTGTAATTTTTTTTTCTTATAAACTGTTGTATTGAGAGGCAAGGGTAAATTTCAGAAAGTATCTTTTTTTTTTTTTTTGGCTTATGCACATGCCCAATCAACAAGGGTAATGTATAAGTTTTTCTGCAATTTGATTTTCAACAGTTTCTTGCAGATAAAGTTTAGTGAGTTTGTTGCAAGACATATTGGAGAGATGGAAGGTGTCATGTTGGAAGCTGAGACTGGAGACTTCCTTGGGAACCATCGTGGATTCTGGTTTTACACAATTGGTCAACGCCAGGGTCTACGTCTCCCTGGTGGACCGTGGTATGCTTTCCTCCTGTTTATTATTCTACTGGTCTTAAAACTAACTGCTGCTAGTTATTTGCTCCAGCAGCATTCTAATTCATGATTAAGCTAAGCAAAGTAAAACTAGCTTCAAATGTATAGCAAGATATACAATTAGTCTTCCCTAATCTTACACAGATGGTGAGTCTTCAAATAATGCTGAACTATGTACTTGGTGATCAAAGAAAAATGTTGAACTATTATACATGTTAGAGACACATACTCATGCCTTTGGTACCATATTACCTTTATTTGTTGTGCCCATTGTTTTTCTTGTTAAACTCTTCCATCGATATTGTGGCAGTGCCTATATCTTGTATATTTCCAAAATCTTCTTTCAAAATCTTAGCAACTTTATGCTAATGCACTTGAACTCACCGGTTTTCCCGTTTGAGCTGATTTTTTAACCAAGTTGTAGCTCTTTTTCAGGTATGTTGTTGAGAAGGATGTTCAAAATAATGTAGTTTTTGTGTCACGAAATTATTTCTCAGTTGATAAAAGAAGGCGCCTGTTTTGTGTTGGCTCCTTGAAGTGGCTTAGTGGATCACCACCTAACCAGAACTGTCAGGTTGCATGCAAGGTCAAATCATCCAATTTCTATTTCTCATAAATTGTTCTTAATGTTCATTGCTTCACAAAAAGAAACGTCTCAAACAAGTTCTACCTATTTAACCCCCTTTTTTTTCATGTTTTGGTGGAGGTGAGGGGGACTAATGATGATTATGGTGTAATGTGGCAAAAAAGAGTCTCTCCACATCTTATGAAAAAAAGCCATGTTAGCTACATCCATCAAAATTTGTCTAGCCATTATGCTCTATTCTCATGAAGTTATGTGATTCAAACCACATGCAGCCCATAAATCTTTTACCATTGCTGATAAAAAAAAAAAAAAAAAATCTTTTACCATTCCAGGTCAGACATGGCCCTGGCTTTTACAGCTGCAGTTTTAAAATGGAGCGTGGTGAAGATGGCTCTGAAGACATTGCAGTTGTGCAGTTATCAGAAGATGATCAAGGTCTCGCAGCTGGCCAGTTTGCAGCCTTTTATGAGGCACAAACATGCATAGGTTCTGGTGTGATTTTGGAGTGCTGGGATGATCAGGGATTTCCTGTATGTGCAAAGGCTGTTGAGATTGCAAGAATGAGAGATAAATCAAAGCTTGGAAAACCTGTTAAAATCAAGGCAAAACCGGCAACTCCCAAAACAGAACCTGATCAGAAAGGTAGCATTGAACTTGGCAGGGCCTCTGATGATTCTCAAGCCAATGTCACGGTTAATGGTGAACAGGCACCTCAAGAAGAAGCATTACCCAAAATTTCAGTTAACTGGCTGCAAAATATAGGAGAGAAGTGGTTGCAAATACTTAAGTTCCCTTGACCTCGGAAATTCTTTGCTAGAAATGAATGAAAATAATGTGAAATTCTTTTCAAGGTTCATGTCCATATTACTTTGTGGCAGCTCTTTTTGTTCTGGGTGAGCTGTGTTTAATGTTATGTATTTTGCTTTTGTTCTTGTATCATAAATGATTATTACATCTTCTGATATTCAATGATATTTGGATTATTTTATTTCATTTTTTTGAATTACAAGTTTGTTACAGCCTACAATTGAAAACAAACCATGAACCTCATTTTTTTTCAAAGTACAAGTTAAATATATCTTAAAACAAAATTTATTTCCAATGTTAACAGTAAAAACAACAGAACCTGATCAGGGTCAAAAATCCATGAAAAGATGTAAGACATCAAAGTTCATAAAAGATAAATGATCATAACTAAAACAAGAACAGCAAATCAGAATGGCCATACCCTACCACTTCCAGCATGGCACAAGTAAAATCTAGACATGATTAAGAGTCTAGGCCAATCTTCGTCTTCGGTTTGCTGGCTTTGGCTTCTTCACAAAACTTAACCGGATTTGCTTGAGGCGCCTCCTTTTCCTGGCCATTTTCTCTGGCAATGTCTCCCGCTTCTTTTCCTTCACTACAACCTTTGGTTTTTTCATGTATCTCGGTTCCACTTTATATGCCTTGGGTTCCACGGGCACCCCATTCTTCAAAGCTTCATTGTAAAGTGCATTTGCTCTGTCAAGGCGATTGTGAGCACACCACTTCTCCATTAACAAATCGTAAGTCTTGATCCCTGGTTTACATCCATCCGCCTTCATCTTCTTGAAAACATTCATAGCATGTTCAATCCTCTCAATCCCACAAAGGATCTTCAAAAATCCATAATATGCTTTCCTATCAAGCTTATCCCCAAAACCTGCAGACTTCATCCTATCAATCATCTCATCCCCCTCTCCAACCCTTGCAGCCTGATACAAACTCCTAATCAAAATTAAATATGTATCTTCATCCGGATAACACCCCCATTCTCCCATCCTATAAAACAACTTCATTGCATCCTCAGTCTTCCTAATCTTACACAAGTTGTTAATCAATACATTGAAAGTCTCCACATTTCTTGGAACCCCATAATAGTCCATATCCAACAACACCTTCTCAGCCTCAGAATGAAGCCTAAAAGGATCCTTTTCCCTACAAAGTTTACACACGCAATCAAGAATGGAATTATAGGCCATTGTCCCAATCTCAAACCCACCTCTATACATTTCTCCTGCCAATCTTTTTGCTTCGTCGAGTTTCCCATCAACACACCAACCTTTTATCAACAAATCACATATCAGCTCATCAGGGAATATCTCGTTTGCCAAGTTCTTCACCATTTTCTCTGCATTACTCGCATACCCCTTCTCACACAATTTTTCAACAACCAACCTAAGTGAATCTTTATCACGTTTAAACCCATAATCCCTCTCCATTCTCTCAAAAAACCCGACAACTTGCGTCGGCCGACCAGCCCGAACCAGCCTATCAATGTAAGACCGTAAAGCTTTAGCTCCAGCAATGCCCTTGTTTTCAGCAAGTAACTCATCGATGGCTTTGAAATCCTTTCTTCGGCCAAAGTAATCAATGAAATACGAAAGCGTTTCATCCGTATGCTTGAAACTAGGGTTTGAGACGAGCCACATGTTGAATCCCAAAACCGCTCGGCCAGCTTCCGCCGAGAGATTGAGTGCCTGTAAGATCACGGCAGGGGTCGGCGTGACATGAGAGAATTTGAGCTGGAGCCGCTCGGTGATGGGCATAGGATCCGAATCAGTGTTTTCCAGAAGCTCCATCGAGAGAGATTGTGCAACTGCATCTGGGTCTTGCTGGTTTGGGGATGTAGGATTTTCAGTGGAGAAAGATCTAGACAGAGAGGAAATAAATGGGAATTTAATCGAATAGGTAGTAGAGAAATGAGAAGAAAATGGGGTTCTGATACAGAGGAAACCATGGGATTGAATCGAAGAAGAAGAAGTGAGGCAGTTATGGAGGAGCCGGCGAAGTTGCAGAGAAGCTAAAGGCGGCATTTTTAACAAGAGGAAAGCTTGGGGTTTTAGAGTAAAAGAAGCTGCAAACAGAAAACCCTAGACTGGGAAGCGTGGGATTAGGATTTATTTTATCCTTTTTCTTTTCTTTAAAAAAAAAAAAAAAAGGGAAAACAGAAAACGTAAAACCCAGTCCAGCAAACGGCGGATAAAGATAAACCTCTGCTCTCCTCCGCTTTCCTTAACCGCCAAAACCTTCCTTCTCAATCTGACTCTAATGTCTTCTGTTGGTGGTGGTGAGCTTCTCTTTACCAAGCCTCTCACTCTCTCTTGCATCCCCAAGGTCTCTCCTTTCTTCTCCTCCTTCTCTTCTCCGCCAATCCGCTCTTTCTCTCCTCCTTTCCTCTCTGTTTCTTTCCTCTCTTCCATTTCCACCTCCTCTCTACCTCTCCGCTGCTATGCCGCGTCTTCCCCATCCGAAACTGAGGGTGAAGATTTCCTTGATGCAGAAGAGGAAGACATTGAATCCGATGAGGAATACGCCTTTGATCCCGACGCTCTTGAATTGGAAGCAAAGCATGCTGTTCGCGAGTATTCTGCCTCATTATCTCATCAGTTGAAACTGGGTAATAAAAGCTTGAACTTTGCTTTCTGAGAGAGTGTTTCTCATGGCGATTTTGATTTGCATCTTACTTGACAATATCAATTATGGGAAATGATTTCAGAAGATGAAGCTAGCGATCAAAAGGATTCCAGTCGAAAGCAGAAGAGAAGTAAAAGTACCACTAGAAATGTAAGTAAGCTTCTTGCTTTGTACTCTAGAAAACATTTAGGGAAGCAACTGAGGCCTGTAAAGCAAGAAAATTTGTCTTTGTCATATTTTATTTCCAAAAATTTCCATTCAGTTTGGAAGTATTTGATATGAACTTCAATCTAGTAACTTTATATTGTGAAGACTGAAGAGAGCATGACCTTATGTACAAAAAAAAAAGGGAGAGCATAACCTTGTTGTTTCTTACTACCGTGAAATCCTTGTGCAGATCCCTGACCATCTTCTTCCACGGGTTGCAATTGTTGGAAGACCAAATGTTGGTAAATCAGCATTATTTAATCGCCTTGTCGGGGTATCTAATCCTTAATTTTGGATTTTATTTTAATTTGTTAATTTATGTTATTCTTCAAATAGTAAGAAAACCATATTGGCTGCAAACATGTCATCTATCATCCATATTTTCAGATTTTGAAAAGTGAATACCTTTTCCGTGAAACTATTGTAGGGGAACAGGGCTATTGTGGTGGATGAGCCTGGGGTTACCAGGGATCGCTTGTATGGTAGATCCTTCTGGGGAGAGTATGAGTTTATGGTGGTGGATACTGGTGGGGTCCTCACTCTGTCAAAAACACAGGCCAATTATTCAGAGGAATTGGCTGTTTCAACAACCATTGGTATGGATGGCATTCCACGTGCCTCCAGGGAGGCAGCTCTTGCAAGGATGCCATCTATGATTGAAAGGCAAGCTACTGCAGCTGTTGAAGAAGCATCTGTGATCTTATTTGTTGTAGATGGGCAGGTATACTTTTTCACTGACATAAGTTGGCCCTCTGATTTTGATTTTTTATGTTTTGTGATTTTCTTTTTTAACTTAAAACTTTTTTCTCACCTTTATTTATTTTTCCTTTTTCTTCTCTTACTAATATGCCTTTTTAAAAGGCTAACATAGCATTTTCTTTAACATTGAGATGAATTTAAGTTAAAGTTCTCATTAGTAAGTTTCTCCTCTCCGTTTAGTTAGAGAAAACCCCACACTTCTTTAACAGTGCAATTTGGATTTGCCAAGCTTTGAAATGCATCTTAATCGGCCCTGGGAAAGAGTTTTTCCTGGACCTTTTATTTTCCTGGTTGCTTTTAGTCTGTATTTGGTCCTTGATTACAGTTCTTAATTCATCTGGCTTTTTCCTTTGAATTTTATCAACTGGACAGTTTTGCATGTATGATAAAGTCAAGCTAGTTTGAAATGCTAAAAATGTTAGAAATACAAAGCAGGCAGGTTTAACAGCAGCTGATGTGGAGATAGTGGACTGGCTGCGGAAGAACTATTCAAGTAAATCTATCATTCTTGCTGTGAACAAGTGTGAATCTCCACGTAAAGGTATCATGCAGGCATCAGAATTTTGGTCATTGGGGTAAGTCTGAATTGCTCCTCCCTTGAAAGCCTTTGGTCTTTAATTACATTGTGAATTTGTATCAACTTTCCTTGAGGGATCTAGTGTTATAAGAATCATAACATGATTCACTAGAATTGGTCATGGGAAAAAAATTATGAATGTCGAGAAACTTCCCATGAATTCTTTCACTGCTCAACAGGTTCTCACCACTTCCTATATCTGCTTTGTCTGGGACTGGAACTGGGGAGCTTCTTGACCTTGTTTGTTCAGGACTGCAAAAGATTGAGGTTTGTGATTTTAAAGCCAGTTCTCTAGTGTATGTATCCTGCTGCCGTGGTTGAACATTTTTTTTCTGTGGTACTGTTTCCTATCAATTAACTATGATAGACCATTCCTTCTTAAATCCATAACCAACCTGGCTGTCTGTGTGGCTGATGGTTTCATTCTGTTTATATGTTTCCTGTTTATTATTGAATTTAAGACATATCAAAAGTTGTGCTTTCAATCTTTGTTTGTCTACCATGTCAAGTTATGGTTTGTCTTACATACAAGTTATATTTGACATGTTTTCAGTTCCTACTTGTAGGGACCTGAACATCGAGACGAGATAGAAATTTATGTCCCAGCTATTGCAATTGTTGGCCGACCAAATGTTGGTAAAAGTAGTATATTAAATGCCTTGCTTGGTGAGGATAGAACAATTGTTAGCCCTATAAGTGGTACCACGCGTGATGCTATTGATACAGAATTTACAGGACCTGACGGCCAGGTTTGTCTAGTTTAGATTCTTGTATTGTCGCCACAAATCTTTGTTGACATTAGTTGCACCAGAGTTCTTAGTTTGCAATCTTGAAATAAGTGGATTGCTTCCACATTATCTTTGTGCTTTAATTCAGCTTAATTTACAGGGCGGAACCATGTTTAATAATTAGATTATTTGAATATCACTTATGAAGAAAGGAAAAAAATGCATATTATCTTGCTTGATTTTTCATCTATGGTTCTTGCACTTCAATTGTCCTCATAAACTTCATGTGATGGTAACTTGTGACTTGTTTTACAGAAGTTTCGCCTTATCGATACTGCTGGGATTAGAAGAAGGGCAGCAATAGCTTCATTGGGTAGTGCCACTGAGGCATTATCAGTGAATCGAGCATTTCGTGCCATTCGTCGATCTGATGTTGTTGCCCTTGTCATTGAAGCCATGGCTTGTATAACAGAGCAGGTAGTTGTTCTTGCCTTCATGATGATTCACCAAGTTGAGCAGTGAAATATTACTAGCAGTAGCCTGCTTGGACTCTCCTGCTTAACTATTGTGTTAACTATGTTGAACAGAACTGCTGTGTTGGCTGAGAATATCTTTTTCTGCCTTAAGTAATTTAACTAAGATCATGTTTCCAAGTTTTAACATCTAGGTAGCTAACATCAGTTAGCATTATGCTAGATTTCATAAACTTCTTTAGAAAATTATTTTGTGTGGATGTCCCAGGATTGCAGAATTGCTGAAAGGATAGAGAAGGAAGGGAAAGGTTGTCTGATTGTTGTAAACAAATGGGATACAATACCAAATAAAAACCAGCAAACTGCAACATATTACGAGCAGGATGTTCGAGAGAAGTTAAGAAGTCTTCAGTGGGCGCCTATTGTTTATTCAACAGCAATAGCTGGTCATGGTGTTGAAAAGTATGTTCTGATCTAGCTTCTCTGTCTTTCCCATTTCCAAATATAATTTGCTGCTTAATTTATTCTTAAGCAACCAAACTTGTGGTTATCATGGAGTAGTCCTGATATTGTGAGACAATAGTGATGACCTAACCCAGCTGCCTCCTATATCACACTGAGGGAGTACTGTTGCCTTGCATACCATGCATATTTGTAATGAAATGGAAAAATGTCACTTATTATATGTAAACTATTTATTATTAATCTGTTAATAAAAAGGAACTTTCTATGCCTTATTATTTTTGTCAAGGTTGCACTAAAAATGATTATCTTTGTCAAGAAAATGTGCTAATTCTGTCAAAATCTCATGGTATCTGAAGGAAAAGAAAGATGGTTTTTTTTTTTTTTGTTAAACTTGCCTAGTGTACCAAACTTGAGTGTAAGATCCTTGTTTCTTTCTATTGTTGCATGTCTGTTAATTCTATGTTAGTGTGAACTGAACTATGGTTTTCTGAGTTCAGGATCACTGTTGCTGCCAGCACAGTTGAGAATGAGAGATCAAGAAGGCTGAGCACTGCAATATTGAATCAAGTGGTACAGGAAGCAATAGCTTTTAAACCACCTCCTCGGACGAGGGGTGGCAGGAGAGGACGAGTTTATTACTGTACCCAGGTAATTTTGCTGCAGACCCAATCATCCAATTTGAGGCTTCACTGCAATATTTAGGATTTTCTGCCACCATTTAAAAAGGAAACACTTGCTGCATTTTAACAGACCAAGTCGTGGAAGCTTTTTTAGTACTAGCTTAGTAAACTTCTTTTACATGTCAAAGCAGCTGGATATGTTCTTATATTCCGGGCTTTTTTACTATGTTTTCTAATTATTTAAATAAAGTTTTTTTCGGCAGCTAATATCTAACTGAATCCCCTTTTGCAGGCTGCTATCAGGCCTCCCACATTTGTTTTTTTTGTTAATGATTCAAAATTGTTTCCTGAGACTTACCGCCGTTATATGGAGAAGCAACTCCGTTCAGATGCAGGTTTTGCTGGTACTCCTATTCGACTTCTTTGGCGGAGCAGAAGAAAGCTAGAAAAAGATGAAGGTCAGTGAATGTTCTTATGCCATAGAAGGCTGATCTTCAAATCCACTGCCTTTAATTTTTATCAACAAAGTTGCCTTGCAGTTGACTTGCTGTTATCATGTTTATCAATCCTTTCTGTTCAGTTTACATCATGAAACCTTCTTGGTTAACTTCTTGCATTCTGCATATCCATGATCAACTTCCTGCATCTCTGGTTTGTTAATTCAAGCATACTGCAACTCCATGGTTAGCTTCCTGCATTTCTGGTTTTCTGTTAGGCAATTAAAATTTAAAATAATACACCGTTGGCATTCTTTGACATAATCTTGCCTTTTTTTATGAATAGTTCCACAGATTGGCCATTTCCTTCCCCTGTTTAAATTCTCTCAAATTTTCAGAACAAAGAGAAAGAGTTAAATGGTATATATGTAGGAATTTATGCAAGTGGCTTTCTTTGACTGGTTCCCAGGTAAAGCAACAAGACTGCAAGCAAACATTGCTCCTCGTGGTGGAAAATTGGCATTGGCTACATGAAAGATAACGTTTATCCTGCATTTTTTGTTTCTATTATTACGGCAGGTGTTTCCATCATCTTAAACGTGAGTTGTTATACGTAGCAATCCTGCAAGAAACCTTGAAAGAAGAAAGGAAACAGGTTGACGGTTGATATTTATATTTTGGTTGTACAATACTCCTTGGTCAGAATCAGAAATGCTACCAAAAGATGACTTCTTTTGGATTTTTGAAAAACCCCAACTGCTATCTCAATCAGTAGCGGCCACTTCGCTATCTCCCACGCTATCATAGATTTTTCCCTTTCCGTTGCTATCTGCTATTGATAACCATGCCGTTGTTTTTGCTTTTCACAGAATTTGATTGACTTGCAAGTCGCAACGGTGAATGACTGATTCCTTAATTCTTGTGGGAGCAAATGGTCCCATAATAATTAGGGATTTGGTAAGTGTAGTTGGATGTAACTATCATGACAACGTCAGTGGGTAGAAATATTGAACACGGGTAAAGACCAGAGATGAAAGAGGGTGGTTTCCCTACCATTTTGTACCGAAGTTAGCCTCTTTTTTTCTTCTTCTTCTTTTTCCTTTTTTTTTGCACCTCTTTGTTTTGTATGGAAAAATATAATGACTTATATTAATTTTATTGTTATTATCACATAAATAAATTTAATTATATTGTTAATCAATTAAAAAAAATATTTATTCTTCCTGAAAAATGTACTTTTTACGTTGTTTTTTTTTTTTTTTTTTTTGACCAAGTAGATAATTAGGAAGTTAGTAGATTTAGTTTGTTAGCAGTTGGAATTTTTTCATGAAAGTGAACGTTCTACCCCTCATTTGAGGCGCGCGACCATTAGATTGGTGGAGTTCGCGACGGTGGCAGAGCTCGAAACCTGACCTCTGCCTCACCCAAGCCCTAAAGCTTGAGGCCAACCAATTGAGCTACAGGACTGGTTGGCGTACTTTTTACGTTGTTAAAGACATCATTTTGAACAACTTTTTACTTTTATACCAACCTCAACTGTTAAAATTTATGGAGAGAGGTTATCAGGAGTCATGAAAATGATAGATGTACTGGTTGCTCTTCCATGTTCCCGAGAGAACGGGTTTTCATCCTGTTTGTTGTTTGTTGTTTTGTGTTTGCTCCAACTGTAATATTGCTTCTGTTGTGAAGTAAATGAAGAAAAAGAAGATGCAAAATCTGTGTTTGAATTTGCAATTGTACCTTCTCTTATAAAAAAAAAAAAAATCTCGAATTCATTTTGCAAATTGTCTTAAAATTATAGATTGTCAATATGTCGTGGGAAAAACATAGTATTTACCGAAATTATGGAATGTTTTATTTTGTAAGGAGTTTGCTTAACCAAATTAAAGAGACCAGGGCCCAACTTTATTGCCTTCCATATCGTTAATATGTGGAAGGCATTTGATGAATGAGAAAGGCAAACAAATTGGCAGCAAGAAATTAATTCAGTTGTCTTGAATATGGTAGGTGAAGCTTTAAATGACTAAATAAGAATTTTGGATGGTATTCAATTCTTAAATTTGTAGCCTGGTTGATGTGTTCCTCCACTGGAAAATATGCATGCTTAACTTGACTTTTAACCGAAGGCAAGGAAAACCATCTTTCTGGTTTTGGGTTTTAACATGCTAAGAACAAGTTAGAAACTAGGTTTATCTCTAGTTTGTGTCGGTATATATTTCCTGTGTAAGTGCCAGAGGAAGAAATGAAGTGACAAATCATGGTTAGTTAGTGACAATTAATGGCTCGGTGCAGAAAAGAAACGACCACTGGGGTGAAGGTGTTTTGAGGTAATCACAGTTCATAAAGGTGCAAGACAGGTAGGAAAAGAACCATTGATGGATAGCCCCACATCATTCGTGACATAAGTGCAAAGTGCATCGAGAGGTTTCTTTCACAACAAGGAGGGAGTCTTTGGCCAAACAAAATAAAAATAAAAAAGAAGGCAGTCCGGAGAACAGAGGTAAGGGAGTTCTCCTCAACTGCAAGAAGCCATGGAGACCATTTCTGATTTGGAGAAACAGCTTGGAGGGATGAGGGAGTTTTACTTGAAGGGAAAGACTAAGGAGGCATCTTGGAGAATTGCTCAGCTTAAAGGGTTGCGGAATTTTCTTAGGGAGAAAGAGGAGGATATCTTTGAGGCTTTGAAGAAAGATTTAAGAAAACATCCTGTAGAGGCATATCGAGATGAGGTATGTAATCTTGAAACATCGCCCTCCTACATTCTAGCTTCAGAATAGCAGGAATTTTATCCCTTGTTTCTAACTCTACCTGTGTGTTTTTGCAGTTAGGAATCTTGATAAAATCCTTAAATCTTGCTTTGAATGACCTGAAGAAATGGATGTCAAGCAAAACGGTAATCATCTTTTTATCTCCTAAGAATAATATATTTCACAGGGTTTCTCTAGATCAAGACTGACACAAACACATTAATAGCATACTTGATAAAAATATAACTGGAAATTTTGTATGTATTTCCCTAAACATGATTAGATTAATGTGAGAACTCCAGTACTGGTGGCAAGAAATTCTAAGTGAAATGATTCTCTTTGTCAAACAGGCTAAACTACCTATTATAGCGCTGCTGTCATCTGCTGAAATAATTCCTGAACCTCTTGGTCTGGTCCTCATTATTTCCTCCTGGAACTTTCCCTTAGGTTAGTGAATTTTGACTTTGCAGTAAAGAACTGGATCCCTTTGTAGAATCATGTGTTCTCTTTTCTTGCTCTATATGCTTAATCATCTCCAATTTGTCATGCTGAAAACAGGACTGTCCTTGGATCCCTTAATAGGAGCAATAGCTGCAGGAAATGCAGTGGTTTTAAAACCATCGGAGTTGGCTCCTGCATGTGCTGCCCTTCTAGCTGCTAATATCCCCAACTACCTTGACAGTAAAGCTGTAAAGGTAATCCAGGGAGGTCCAGCTGTTGGTGAACAGCTCCTTCAGCAGAAATGGGATAAGATTTTCTTCACAGGTAAGAGACATACGTCCTCAACTATTTGGCAGATATAAGTATATTTAGATCCTAATTGTCCTATTTTTGTTCTTATTTTCCTTGAAAATATCAAAATAATTCTAGGAAGTACACGGGTGGGGCGAATAATTATGTTGGCAGCTACAAAGCATCTGACACCTGTTACGCTTGAGTTAGGTGGAAAATGTCCCCTTGTCCTTGATTCCCTATCATGGTCTTTGGACAAAGAGGTATAATTCATCTTTAAAACTTTGATTGCTTATGCTCTTACATGGTAGATTTTTTCAGTTAACTTTCTAATTTGTGTTAACCTTTATTAAGGTGGCTGTAAACCGGATTCTCTTTGCAAAGTTTGGATGTTGTGCAGGCCAAGCATGCATAGCAATTGATTATCTCTTAGCGGAAAAGCAATTTTCCTCCACCCTGGTATGGATTTAAAAATTCCTATCAACTCCTCTTTGTTCGTCATAGTGTGTTAAATTGTTTCTTACTTGAGTCTACTTTTTGTTTAGGTGAATTTACTGAAGGCCATGGTCAAGAAGATGTTTGGAGAGAACCCCAAAGAATCTTGCAGCATTTCAAGAATAGTTAACAAAGATAATTTCTTGAGACTGAAAAAACTTCTCGATGATCCATTGGTTAAAGCATCCATTGTGCATGGCGGCCAAATGGATGAAGATAACTTGTAAATTCTCCTACTTGTAAGTTCTTTTTGTTTCCTCTTTGCTTTTGCTTTTCCTCCCTGAGTTCTATCGATTCCATGCAGGTTCATTGAGCCAACAATATTGTTGGATCCCCCACTTGAATCAGAACTAATGACAGAAGAAATTTTTGGTCCCCTGCTTCCAATAATCACAGTAAGACAAACATCTCTCATGTTCTTTTTGATTACCAGAACTTGTACGTTTTCCAAAAGTTGTACTCATTCTAGATGCATATTAAATAATTGGTCCTTTCTTTGATACAGTTGGAGAAGATTGAAGACAGTATTGATTTCATCAATTCAAGGCCTAAACCCCTTGCACTCTATGCCTTCACCAAAAATAAAACACTCCAGAGGAGAATGATCACTGAAACATCATCCGGAAGTGTAATATTTAATGATGCAATCATTCAGGTATGAGATTATTAAGTTAAACCAACAAAAGTTTACTGACAAACTGAAAAGAAATTGACAAGTTCCTTATGAACCATTCCTCACTAATCACATATGAATATATCCATGCAATCTTGTGTTTGATCCATTGTCTTGTTTAAATGTGTTTTTCTGTAGTTTGCAGTTGATACCCTTCCATTTGGAGGGATTGGAGAAAGTGGGATAGGGAAGTACCATGGCAAGTTCTCCTTTGACACCTTCAGCCACTACAAGTCAGTCGCAAGAAGAAGCTTTCTAACCGATTTCTGGTTTAGATTTCCTCCATGGAATAATTCCAAGCTGCTACTCCTGGATTCTGCTTACAACTATGATTATTTTGGAGTCGTCCTTGTTATTTTAGGTTTGAAAAGATCCCGTAAAGGCTTCAACATCAACTAGTTATCCAGATGAGTGCTACTTGATGGTTTTTTATGCGAATATTTGGCAGTAGACAATGATTAACGATGGTTGTGGCTAGGAATTATTATTTAATTATAGTTATGTAGATGAGTGCTACTTGATGGATATTTATGAGAATATTTGATGGTTGAGAATTATTAATTAAGGATGTTGTTAGAAGTTATTATTTAATTATGTGTTTGTTAGATGTTATAATTAATGAATAGTTATGAAGGAAAGTTCTTTACCTGTTATCTAAGTAATTATCCTTCCATGCTCTAAATTAAAATAATTTTTATTTATTGGCTTATAAAAAATAATTATTTATTGCACATGGTCTTAGAGGCCCATTTGCATTAACTAGTCATTCGATGCATTCCCCCATCTTCCTGAACAGGTTTCAAATCCATCTCTTATCAAAATGTTCAAAAAAAAATTATTTATTGATTCGAGGTTAAAGTTAAGATTTAAATTTCTACAATTTTAAGAAATTAACTTTCAATATATATGTCCAGTACTTAGTAGCCCAATGATCATCCTTTTACGGGATGTGCTTAAGACTTAGAGAACTTGGAATCAAATCCCAAGTCTTC